GTGAGCAGACAGACCTCACCACGCAAAGAGTGTGAAGACGGGGGAGTCTCACCAGAGCGCAACCACGGCAGAGGAGGGTGTGAATGAGAGGAAGTCCTATTCTGTGGACACCAGTCAGCCTCCTTCCCAGCCACTCCTGTCACAACCCAGTTGTCTCATGCCACCATGGTGGCAGGGACAGAGGTCGTGTACGGACTCGGTAACTCCGCCTTCCACTCCGCATGCCACCATGGTGGCAGGGACAGAGGTCGTGTACGGGCTCGGTAGCTCGGTGGCAGGGGCAGAGGTCGTGTACGGGCTCGGTAGCTCGGTGGCAGGGGCAGAGGTCGTGTACGGGCTCGGTAGCCCAGCCTCCCGCTCCCCAAGGCCACGCTGGCTGCAGCTGCTGCTCACTGCCCAGTCTGCCAGCAGCAGACACCACACTGAGTCCCCGACACAGCGTCAGTCCACAGGGAGATGAGCCAGCCACCTGCCGGCAGGTTACTCTGTTCTTCCTCGAAATTCGGATTTGCCTTTCCTGCATGTGATGCTGCTGCCAAAACCACGATCCAGAGTTATAAAATGCCTCATCCGCTACCGTGGTATTCCGCAAAGCACAGATCCCACGCACAGCCCATGGAGTGTGGCAATGGCCCGCGCACACGGGATTCAGTGGCCTCACCACGCTCCCCATCGGCCTGCAGCATCCGGCTCGACAGGACAATGGCGTGCCCTCGTACCTACTGAACTGCGACAGCAGCTGGGTGGCAGAACCTTGCAGGCTGGGCAAAGTTCTCTAGGAGCCTGTATGTGCCCTGAATCAGCGCCCGATACATGGCGCTGCCTTGGCGTCTCCTGTACTCTCTGTCAGCGTGCCGGCCTGTGGCGCTGGAATGCTGTGGCCGTGAGCCTGGAAGCTATGCCACCCGTATTTCAAATACTAGACGGGAACCCATAGTGGACAGATCACAGTAGAGCTTCTGGACGAAGACAGACTAGGAAGAAGGACAACACCCGGTCCACGTCTGAAAAGAAACTGACCCCTGAAAAGCTTATGAATATAAACACAAAGACACTTGACTGTGTGGATCCTAACAAATTATGGAAACGTTGCGAAGAATGGGATTTCCCAAACACTGAATTGTTCTCATGAGGCACCTGTACACAGACCAGGAGGCAAGTCATTCAAACAAAGCAAGGGGATGCTTCACGGTTTAAAATCAGGAAGGGAGTACACAGGGTTGTATCCTCTCACCATACTACAATCTGTGCTGAGCAAATAATCCGAGAAGATGGACTCTATGAAGAACGTGGCATCAGGATTGGAGGAAGACTCATTAACAAGCTGCGATATGCAGATGACCCAACTTTGCTTGCTGAGAGTGAGAATGACTTGAGGCACTTACTGATGAAGACCAAAGACTACAGTCTGCAGTATCGATTGCATCTCAACATAAAGAAAACAAAAATCCTCACAACCGGACCTATAAACAAACAACATCACGATCAGTGGAGAGAAGACTGAAGTTGTCAAAGATTTCATTTAACTTGGACCCACAATCGACACCCATGGATGCAGCAGTCATGAAATCAAACTACGTACAGCACTGGGCCAATCTGCTGCAAAAGACCTCCTTAAACTGTTAAAGAGCAAAGACGTCACTCTGAAGACCAAGGTGCACCTGACCGAAGCCATGGAATTTTCAACAGCCTCACATGGATGTGAGAGCTGGCCGATGAATAAGGAAGACCAAAGAGGAGTTGATGCTCTGAATTATGGCGTGGGTGGAGAATGCCGACTGTACCATGGGCTACCCGAAGAACAAACTAACTGGTCCTGGAGGAAACACAGCCAGAATGCGCCTTCGAAGCAAGAATGGCCAGACGTCCTCTCAAGTACGTTGGTCATGTTGTCAGAAGGGGACCAGTCCCTGCAGAAGGGTATCATGCTGGGGTAAGCAGAGGGTCAATGAAAAGGGGTGACCCTCACTAAGATGAACGGACAACGAGCCTGCAATGATGGGCTCAGGCACAGCAACGATTGTGAGGACGTGCAGGACCGGGCAGAACTTTTCTACTGTACACGGGGTCGCTAGGGGTTGGAACCGAATGAATGGCACCAAAAACGACTTCATAATCTGATGCTGCTGAAACGGAAATACCCCAAGTGGGGGGTTTTAATAAACAGACATTTATTTTCTCAAAGGTAAGAGACTACAATTCTGACTTCAAGGCACCAGCTCTGGGCAAGGCTTTCTCTGTCTGCTCTGTGGGCAGGGCCTTGTCTCTTCTGTTCCTTGGTTCCCTCCCTGGAGACCTTCCTGTGGCCTGGCATCTACCCTGCCCCATCTCTGCTCACTTCACCTATTCCTTTCATGTCTCAAAAGAGACAGACTCAAGACACATCCTACACTGATACCGCTTCATGACAATAACACAGAAGACCCATTTACAAATGGGTTACAACTATAGATACAGGGGTTAGAGTTTACGACATGTGGACCCATTCGATCTATGACAGCTGTGATGCCTCCCATACCCAAGATTCATAGGTCCTGGTGTCAAGAGATAAAAACAGGAGTAGTACCCTCACTAATACCTCAAGTGATCAACAGCCAGATTTCTGCTTCCTGTCCCCAGGACCGTGTGCTCTGCTGCTCTGGGGGCTCAGTTCCAAAGGAAGGGGACACAGCAAAGATCCCCTGAATCAGAAGACTGACATCTGCTACCTTGTGCTCTTCATACCTCTAAAGCAACAGGCAAAGAGGGAATGACTGTCTTGGCTGGGGACACTGATCTTTATTTAAAAGAAAAACAAACCCACTGTACTCAAGTCCATTCTGACCCACAGCGCCCCTAGAGGACAGAGTGGAACTGCCCCACAGGGTTTTCCAGGCTGTCAATATTCACAGAAGCAAAGCCCAACCACACCCACTGCCCTGGAGTCGATTCTGACCCACAGCGCCCCTAGAGGACAGAGTGGAACTGCCCCACAGGGCAAGGCTGTCAGTCTTCACAGAAGCAAAGCCCAAACCACACCCACTGCC